AAATTTAAAATATTTATTTGGTCTCGAACTGTTTGCAGCACAGCAAGGGACTGCAGAATTTCTTTTTTTTTTCTTTTTAAAAACCTGTTTAAAAAGGAAATGTAAAACGTAAGCATGAAATAAATTGGCTTTTAAAAGATTCCACTACAAATCTAGCCAAATCTTTCATTCAGAGTTGCAAAGCTGACCCAAACTCTGTGCGGGCAGCAGCCAACATCTCCTGGCAGCCTTAACTTTGTTCGTTAACACATTGGGCACCTCAATGCTTTGACAATGATTGAACATTTAAAAAAAATTAGGTTATAAATGTTAACTATAAAGTAGTAAATGAAAATAGGGACTCAAAGGGTGGCCAGAACAAGGATAGACGCTGGATCCCTTTTTCAGTAATAAAGCAATAGCTGAAACAGTGGCAGAAAAAATATTAATAATATATATTATATAGAATTAAATTGACATCGCTAATATAATGTCCTGGCAAGTGAAAAGTGGAAGTTACTTATGAAAGCAGTAGGCATTCCTATGGAACACGCAGTGTATCCAGTGAAAGGGGGAAAAGAAATGTGAACATGGTACTTAATTCAAATAAGGGGGCTCCAAAGAGGAGCTCTGACAGGCTGTGTTTTCTTTTTCAGATAGCCATGTGCTCTGAAAGGAGAAACCAACCCAGAGCCAAGGAAAATCTGTAAATATAAGCAGTGAAGCCCAACCACCGTTGGAAAGTGCCACCCAAATCCTGTTTTCTTTTAACGGGTTATTAATTACGGATGATGGAGCAACTTCGAATAATGCCCTGCCCATTCACAAACATGGCAACATTTCCTGTTGAAAATTGTATTCAAAAGTCTTGTTTAACTGTGGTGTAAAATAAATGCCGCTAAGGGAATAAACACGAGAACTATATGGTAGAGCGGGGGTACGCAACCCGCGGCACGTGAGCTGATTATCAGTGGCACTCACACTGCCCGGGTCTTGGCCACCGGTCCGGGGGGCTCTGCATTTTAATTTAATTTTAAATGAAGCTTCTTAAATATTTTAAAAACCTTATTTACTTTACATACAACAATAGTTTAGTTATATATTCTAGACTTAGAGAAAGAGACCTTCTAAAAACATTAAAATGTATTACTGGCACGCGAAACCTTAAATTCGAGTGACTAAATGAAGACTCGGCACCCCACTTCTGAAAGGTTGCTGTGGTAGCGTTTTGTAAGTCAAAACAAACAAAACAAAACAAAACAAAAAAGATTAAAGTGTCTAAGACTGCAAACAGGTCCATAGTTTAGGGTTAAAATCTACCGGGGGAAATGTTGTACACAAATGTTCAAATTAATTATGTGTCAGAGTTATTGAATTTGACCAATTAGCAGTTACCTAAAGGACTGTGCCCACTGACCGTTGGGGCACTTTCTGAATACCAATGTCTACATTAGAATGGTGTAAAATGTCCAAGGGGGAGCAGCAACTACAACAAAAGAAACTTAATAAGACTGGCACAAGAACTGGACTGTTTCCAACTGACATGTCGCTCTGAAACCAAGCTGACATCAAGATGCTGTGGGAATGTGACCAAGCATTTCAACAGAAGACAGCCACAAACGTCTCACACCCACTGAATGAGCAAAACCAAGAATTCATTAAGCTTTGTTATCTGTCTATAATATACATGATATTGTGATTGCTTTCAAGGAAGTACGGGATTAAAGCATTGTGCTCCAATCGAGTGCAGTATGGGGGATACACGCTATACAAAGTAAAACCAGCCTTAAGTAATATGGAGCAAGAAAACTTGCCCTCTTTTATTGCCACAGAAAAGTTAAATCTGTAGTACAAGAGAGAGGACAGCAGTTGGTTCAGGATAAGGAAATGAACAAAGATCCAATACCATGAAGCTAAATGTGAAGTCACTGCAGCCCACGTGGTGTGAAAGGAGTTTGTTTTGCCTCCTCAAATGTTGTTGCAAACAAATGACAAGGTCTGGAAAGCCCAAGACTTGTTCTGCTGTTGGAACCTGAGAGACACTAAGAGGTATCATGTCTTACAAACAGGGTCGTGGGCATGTGGGTTCACTCTGGGGGGCACCGTCTACAGATCGCACAGTATGGTTGAGATGCTGGGAAGTCGGTGCAGTAAAAACGACCTATGCTGGGAATGGCAAGTGTTGTATGGTGGCTGATGGGGACCACTTCCAGTATGGATCCAGGGAATGTGCTGAATTTGTTGTGGTGATAGATAAAAACACAATATACAAGCTGTTAGGGGATATAGTAACTGTAGAAGGATGCTTTAAAACCAGGGTGACCATATTTCCCTGTGCTGAATAAGGGACACCTGGTAAAATTACTCGTATTCAAGCGAGTTCAACGGCAATCAATCAGAACTTTGCAGTTCAAACGTTCAAATTAACATCAAGTTGACTGAGCCTCTGTTAAAAAGAAATACTGCGTAGCTGGATACTTTTTATTTGCCTTTTTATTTTTAAGGCTTTAGGGTTCACACAGGGAGGGGTGACATGCACACCCGACCTCCCCACACACGCAGGGAGAGGTCACACACACACACACACACACACACACACAGACTCCTGCAAACCTCTCTCACACGAGGGGAGGGGTGTGACTGACTGACCTCCCTCCCCCACCTGGCGCTCTCCGCCCACCCTGCCTGGCTGGGCCCCTTGAACGGACCCACCTCTCCCAGTACCTGACGCCGCATCTTCCCGAGGCAACATGTGGGGGGCACGCAGGGTCACATGTCCCCCCTCCCCAGATTTCTGCCAGGGTTCACACCAGAATGTGGCCAGCAGCAGCCTTTTGGCCCTGTGTGGGAGGGAAGGGACGATGGGAGCTGCTTCCAGCAGCGGTGGGGAGGGGCAGTGGAGGGATGACCTGGCCCACGTCTCCCGTGGCTAGAAGCAGGTGGGCCCTTCTTGCCCGCACAGCATCGAAAGGCAGCTAACACCTCCAGGCTGCTGCTGGCCACTGACATAACCCCGCCGCCTCCTGTCCCCCCCCCGGCTATAGTGTGGGCAAGAAGGGGTTAAGCCCTAAGGATGCGTTGTGCACCAGGGCCCAGGGAACCTGACCAGCGAGGTGGCTCAGCAGGGGAGGCTGCCTAGGGGACGGAGCAGCTCCATGCTCCCTGGGGGCAGGACCCAAGGGGTGAGGGGGCTGCTGTGAAGCTGCAGATTCGGAGCATGAACAGGTTGGAAATCGCTTCCCACCACTCCAGAGCTTAGCTGAGAGGCGGAGAGGCTTCCCCGGCCCAGTACCGTGCGGGGCTTTGGCACACGCAGGGCTCGGCTCCTCCTGGCCAGCGCCCCAGGCCGGAGGGTCTTGGGCTTTCCTGGGGCGTCGGCGCAGCCAGAGGCAGTGGGGGAAGGAAGGAGCTGCCAGCCAGGCTGTTGGTGAGCTGAGCGATCCGACCAGGGGCTGGTTCTCCGCACAGCGCTGGGAGCGGGACGTGCCCCGCCGGGGGGGATATGGAGGAGAAGCGGGGCTAGGGAGGGTGAAGGGGCAACGCAGGGTGAGGACAGTGAGAGGGGGAGCATGTAAATGGCCACTGTGTGGCATCTACCCCCACTCATCAGCCATCACCAGCCGGAAATGGGACGGGGGGCTGGGCCCTGCTGGCCAAGAGCCAGCACACAGCGGGGGCTAAACTGATGGACCAGCAGGGGGAGCGGCTTCACCCCACCACCAGCCTTACACACCCACCCTCATCGTCGGCCACTGGACCCCCCCGCACTGAACGCTGATGGGTGGGCGGCTGGCGAGCAGGGATCCAGCCAGCAGCAGGGCCTGCCAGTACTGATGGGGCGGGGGGAGACAGAAAATACTGGACAATTGGCCTGTTTTTAAGAAAAAGTCGGGACACTGGAGGAGGGCTTAAAAACGGGACTGTCCCTTTAAAAATGGGACATCTGGTCCCCCTATTTAAAAGCAGTATTCCTCCCTTAAGCCTGGATCTTAAAATCCCTATGAGTAATAGTCAGGTATTCAAGGCTACTGCATGTGCTATATACCGTAGCAGACTTGGAATTCATCTGGCTCAGGGAACAGAAGGACTAAAACAAGGGGTTAGGAAGACACACTTGGAACAGTTGATACCCATAACCCAGCTCAGAACCAAACAATATCACGAGGTAGGCACCACCATTGCAGGAGCAGTGAACCCTTTGTGGGCTATGAAGAGTAGGCAGCCTCCACCCTGTCGTTCAGACAGTCAGTGTGCTTTTAATGGTTGTACAGTTAGTAACCAACACTGCTGTACTAAACAAGAAAAAAAAGGAGTGGAAAGGCAGGCCTTGCGTGAACAGTGGAAGAAAACAGAAGTCAGGAAACAGCGCTTAACAATGCACAAAACATGAATTCACAAGTGGCCTTATAAATCATCTGTAGCTAGTAAATAAAAAGTACGCAGAAGAGGCACGTGTGACCAGCTTGCAGCTAACTAGCACATCTTGCGGCGTATGGACAGCTCATGATCTATACAGGGATTGGTTCATAAAATCAGTAAGCCAGTCGTAAAGCGTGTGATACAACGTAGAATGTCATGCTCGTGCATTAGTCTGTTTTGGACTAGGTATATAATCCGATTTATAATTATGTACTTTGGACTTGCAGTTCACCCTAACCCACCCTGCCACACCTGAGCCTGCTCACCTCAGGTATAGCTTCATGAAATGCCCATAAAGAAACCTCAGTGACCAGTCTGGATTCCAGAGACCTGCAGGAAATGTTCGCCCAGAACTGGACACGATGCTCTGGATAAGCCAAGTGGAAGAGGTCTCAGACTCTGGAAGCCCAACGCTATGCAGAGCGTAACTGAGCTCTGTGCTGAAAAGCTGAATGTCACAAACACACTCTAAGCTAGGCCGAAGGAGAAAGTTAGAGGGAGTACGAGCCAACTTGGCCTCCAACCCTGGCCATGGCAATTGTAAGATCACACACACCTGCTGGAGAAGAGAGCAGTTGGTTACCAGCTCATTTCCATCTTACCTTGCAGCTTCTTCAGGACAGCCACCTCCATCTTGAGGACCTGTTTGGGCTGCTGGGCCGACTCCACTTTCAGGGCCACATTCTCACGGGTTAGGAGATCCATTGCCTCATAAATCTCACCGAAACCACCACCACCAATCTTCTTCAGCTAAAGAGAACACAAAAGCAGGGCTTAGCACAAATGGGCGAGACCGCGTCTGTCCATTTACCATCGCACAGCAGGAAGGAGCAGGGCACCAGCCTCTTCACTGCGCAGGGAGGTACTGGGCCCACTCCCCAGGCTGCCTGTGACATGACCACCTGTCACAATCAGGACACGAGTGGTCTGAGCTAGTGGTCAAAGCAGGAGTTAGGAGAGTCAGGCCAGGTCGGATACCAGGAGGTCAGAGGACAAACCGAGAGCCTGGAAGCAGGCGACCAGGAGATCAGAACCAGGAGACAAACTTGAGAGCTGAACGACAGAACTGTGGTTTCCGTTTGCCAGAAGCTGAGAATGGGCCACAGAGGATGGATCACTTGACAATTACCTGTTCTGGTCATTCCCTCTGAAGCACCTGGCATTGGCCACTCTCGGAAGACAGGATACTGGGCTGGATGAACCTTTGGTCTGACACAGTATGTCCGTTCTTATGTTCTTAATGACAACCAGAGTCAGGCCAGTTTGGGATACAAAGGAGTCAAGCTAGGGGAGCAGGAGTACAAGCAACACATTCTCCCAGTTGTATGGACGACTTCCTGTTCCTGGGCTGGGTTTATACAGAAGCTGTGGACCAATCGGGACCCCCAGCATTCCGCCAATCTGGTGCCGGGACTGGAGTCCTCTGTCTAGGTTCAGCCGCTGTCTTAGCAGCTGTTAGCAGGTAGTGGATTGGAGCGGATTGCTCCTATGAGTCCCGTGGACCTGGGTCCAAGACCCATGGTCCCCGACACCACCCGTTCGCTGCCCAGGGAGGTAACAGCCCAGCTTCCCAGCCTCTCTGGGATGTGACCACCCCATCAGAGCTCAGCGAAGTATTTGCTTAGCTTCCCAGTCTGTCTGTTATGTGCAATTGAAGAACGGGGAAGGAAAAGGTGGCTTTTAGCCAGCTTTGTGCTCCCTCAATCTAGGGCTGATTTGAGTCAGGCCAGACCCCAGCACAAGTAAGAACAGACGTAAGGTTGCTCTAACTTAGGCCTGCTGTCCATGGCCCCATCCATTCAGCTCCTGGGGATACCCCATTTTCCCTGGACATGGGGAAGAGAAGGCAATTTGCAGGCCATACAGTGGAGCAATACGTAACACCAACATTACTCAGACTCCAATGAGAACCATCTGGCCTGGGACCGCCAGTTCCTTTCAGCGCCGCTCTATTCAATGGAAAGGAAATAGCGGGGAGCTATTTCACACAGTTCACACTGGAGCTTCCCTTGCCCTCCAATAGCATCACTGAAAGTGTGAGGATCAAGAGGGAGCAGGGCATGCTGGGATCAGCCTTTCTAGGCCACATCCCATATTAATAATACTTAACACATATATCACACTTCCCAAGACCATCTGATTAAACCTCCCCAATCCCTTGGGAGGAAGGTTCATGGTATCCTCATTTTACAGATGGGGAAACTAAGGCAGGCTTTCAGGGGCTAAATGACTTGCCTGAGACTATCCAGTAAGTCAGTGGCAGAATGGGGAACAGCACCCAAGATATCATGACTCCTCGTGTTATTCTTCTGTACCTTATAAGATGAGGGAAGGCATAGACTCCATTGCCCAAGTTTGTGTCCTGCACTTTGTCTACCTCTCTCCTAGCAGAATAAATGGAGGAGATCCTAGACAGGAGAATCTTTTCCCTCTCTAGCCAGCCTAGCTTTTTAGACATCACTAAGGGGAGAAGACTGCAGAGCTAACGGGTCTAACCATCAATGCTGCTTCCTTGTTTCACAGACAGTAATGGGAGAGGAAGGCATCTCTGTAGAAACAAGGCCCGGTAACACACAACCCTTGAAAAATACTCCACTGGGCTCCTTTGAAACAGGCTCTTTACATCCTGACACTGTTCATGCCGAGCGATCATTAGCATTGCCAGGCGCAAGAATAAAACACGAGCAACCTTACTACTGTCTGGATAGAGTTTGTATTTCAGCCTGCAACAAGAACCAACCCACGCTGCTGCTGGACACCCTCACGATCACACCCAATGCTCTGAGCTCTGCCCTGGAGGCCAAGCGTTAAAAAGTCACAATACTATCCTGCCAGCAATCACCAGTCCAGTCCCTGCTCCCCTAGGCAGCCCCGTCAGATAACCCCATCTGTAACTTATCAAGATCCATCTTCAAGCTGGTTAGGTGGTTTGCCCCCACTCCTGTTCCAGAGCCTCACTCCTCTGATGGCTACCAGGCTTAATCTGCACTCCCTTCTCCATTCCATCCATGAAAACGATCCGCAATGAAATCATTCATGTCAGCACTGAAATGTCATTGTGGACATGCCAACGACATTAGTGGGGCAGGGGGAGGTGTCCAGGCATTATTTCAACGTACCTGCACATGCAGTAAAACCTCTCTGCATTGATTACATTTGGTTCACACCTGGAAGGTTTTTCTTTGCAACCACAAGGGCTAGACACTGAACGTAAAGCTTAGATTCTGTACAGTCTGAATGTGTTGTGTGGCTCGCACAGGGTAGCTGGTCCCTGTGGATAGACCAAGCCCAGTGCCCTTGGACCAGAGCAGGTGAATCCAATCCAGCTAGTGGGCAGTCAGAGGGGGAGATGGACTGAGACAGACTGCGCCCTGGGAAGGGGAAGCCACACCAGAGCGGAACAAGGGGCCAGGGCCTCAGAGAAGCAGCCCTGAGCTGCTCCAGGAAGGGAGAAGAGCTGCCTGAAACTGGGAATCTGCCAGGAGCAGGCATGCCAGAGACCCCGGGGAGGGGTGGCCCTGAAGCCCAGGGCTAAGGAATGAGTTAAAAGTCTGTTTTTTTCTGTTTGTTTGCTAACCTCTGTTAAGAAAATACATCTCCTGGAAAAGGACGGGGCGAGGCAGTGCATGCTTTGAGCTGGGAGACAAACCTGGGATGGCTACAGTGGGTCACAAACACATCAAGCCGGCGCGGATAGCTTGTGGCCATGTGTTTGAGCTCCTTGCTCTGACGGCTACTACAGGCAGATTTCACTTTCATCCACATGCTGTAGCAAAGAATAACGTTGATCTCGTTTTCGCTACTGAAGAAAGAAGCTGAGACTCTCAGCTGAGTCCCAGTATTACCTTTTGGGGTTGTTGTTTTTTTAAACTACAGCCATCATAATAAGCTGTTGGCATCCCCAAGGGCCAGATCTCCCTATCTATTTTTATGGAGAATTCCCCATGGACATAAAAATAATTGAGCCAACCCAGCCCAGAAAGAGCTCAAAATACTTGACTATGAGAGGGACAGAACTAGCTGCATCCTAAAGGTGCTCCCTCCAGACCCCTGTGGAGGCATAGCACATGGGCATAGGGAACCTTATACCACCTCGGTCACTTAAGTCATTTCCTTGCACCATTAAGGGATTCTGCTGTTCCCAGCAGAATGCCAATACGCAGGGAAAAAAACCACGCAGGTGCCCTGGGTGCTAAAGAAACGTACACACCAGTGCATTCAGTATCACCACTGCAAATGTAAACAAACTGCTGCCAGATCCCTGCCCTCTTTTCTGATCTCTTTTATCCGCTCGGCCTCCTTTCCTCTTGTTCCACTTGATATCTCTTTCACGTACAGCTCTCTACCCAGCCGGTCCCATCACTGCCAGCAATGCTGACATCAGACGTGCAGCGTGGCTCCTGTGTCAGCATCCCTGGGAGGGCTACAACTGCCTCTCCGTCTCATTTCAAAGCTGTGCTGAACACGTACTTACTCTCCAGCGACAGCCCCTTTTAGTTGCTCCCCGCTTGGCATTTCTATTTAATGTTGTAGCTGGCAGAGCACCTGGAAAGACAGTTTGTATGAAAAACCATAAGCAAAAGGAAACTGAAATATATTGCATTTCCCTTTCCTTTCGGCTCTTCCTCCCTACTGGCCCAATCCTGCCCAATCAGACTGGGCTTCCATTCAAAGGGGTGATAAGTAAAAATGGCATGATTGAGCCCCATGGAGCTGGCAGAGAAAAGAAAGGATTTTTGAAAACACCCCTTATTTTGTTCTCTTTGACAGGTAATCTGCAAAGGAGAACACCATTTGGGTTCAGAACCATTTTGCTTCTTTACAATGAGTAGAGAAGCCCTGAAAGGGAGTTGGGGTTTGATTTTTTTTAGTTTGTATCTGCTCTGGAAATATCAGGACGCTCAAGTCTTAACCTCCCTGTCTGTGCGGGACGTCTCCTTGTAGGACCGGACAACTGGACAGGGACCTTGCTCTTAGCTGACAGGCTGCTGGAGCTTTAACAAAGACATCACTCTTCCCCATGGTTTGCTTATATTATTCTATTAGATAGCGGCTAAATAAATCAAAAACATTGGAAGTGTAACTGAAAATCTTTCCCTGCGATGGCTCAGATTTTACTTCCTCGCTCTCTGTGATGACTGTGCTAGTTCTCCAGTTCTCCCTAGCCTTCTGGCAAAAGCAGGTTAGCCCAGACCTACATTTACCATGTAAAAAACTTGCAGAAAAAAAGCATACAGATGAAAAAAAGGACAACAATAATTCCTTCCCCATTGGAGGTCACCTTTAAGTCTTCACCCTATGCAGTAATACAAAACATTTTTTACAATGCACAGGGGGGCCAGTTTATGCCTGCTGAAGGAAATGTCATTTTTAATTTTCTAACTTGGGTGCGCATAACATCTCAACCTTATTGTTGCATCAACAATTTTGTTGCACTGAAGGTATTTATTTAAAGTCCATTCTGACAAAGCACTAAAACAAAACATCCCAATGCCACTGCTGTGTCCTCCACCGAATACCTGCAGAGCAGCAGTTTGCAGTAACCCACTACGTACAGTGCTGGTGCCCAACCAATATATAGAATAAATGGAATAAATATATAGAACAAAGTGAGGTGCTTAAACAGGTATGTCCATTTCTGCCCCGTTCGACACACGATAACAAAACCAGGGCTGGTCAGAACTGGAAAAAGACAGTCAGTGAGGGGGGAAAGTTTTATTTTCAAGATTTTAATAGACAGTATCAAAGAA